AAATTTGGGAATTGAAAAATTTAATGTTTTTTTTAAATAAAACTCGTGTCCATTTATTTACCAAAACTGAAGACATTTGAAATGTTATCAAAATCAAATGGTTTATTAGTAAAGTAGTAATAAAAAAACTGCTCTCAATTAATATTTTTAGGATCCGTTTCAAAAACGAAAATAAAAAAGTATACATAATATGCATAAAAGGTATCTATATATATATTTCTCTTACACGGCGACAAAAAAATGCCTCATTACAACTCCCCGAATGGCAACGCTAGAAAATCGACCAATGATTGCCGCTAAAAATGTCACATGCCAAATCTAGCTGAGATGGCTCAACATATAGCGCTTTTAAAAACGTAAACTGAAAGCTAGGCAGAAGTGAGTAGTCTTTGTCGATAGATCTTTATTTTAGTATTTTGTCGAAAGCGCTTTTTTTCACGAATTTATATATTACGAATTTATCTGACGATTTTTGATTTATATCACGAATTTATTTGTTTTACTAGAATTTATTTGTTTATGCAGGTTTTTCCATTGTAATTCACCTATTTCACTTTTTAATAGACTTAATTGTAGCCAAAATTTTAACCTTTTTAAAGAGATATCAGTTTTAGAAATTTTATACTATAGCACATTTCTAAAAGGTTTAACGAATTACACGTCATTTATTTGAATTTAAAATTTATTTTAATGACTTAGTATTTACTAAAAAGATGTAATTTTTTTAAAAAAAAAGGTTGTTATATGGATTTGAATGATTGTTTTGAATTCTTAGAATTTTGTGCATTTGCAATGTACCTAAGCGAGCGAAGCGAGCTTGGTTTGCGAAGTAAACCATATAAGATTGCGTAGCAATTTTCGGGGGTTGACGAGCGTTAACGAGCAGGGGACGCAGCCCACTAGTATATAATAAAACGCTAATGAAATCTGACTGTTGAAGACGGATGCATGAAATACCAAAACCTGTTTAATTTCGGGAAGAAACAAAAATGATTTTAGAAGATTATCAGGAACAACTTCAAGTTCGAATCTTTCATCTATTGTGTTTCGTAAATGAGATTTAGATTTTGATTGTGTTTTTGTTTTTTTCCATAATTATTAGCGATCCCCCAAATGATGCTCTTTCTCCATTTTTGACAAGGATTCCAAAAATATGTATAAAAGGTAGTCCTTTCAGAACACCATCTACAATCTTGCACATTTTACAACGTAATGTACGCTGTGCGGAAAGAAGCATTTAGCTCTGCAGATTTATTTGATAAGCATAAGTTATTGGAAGTATGGAGACCAAGATCTTATAACAATTTAAAATATTTTAAGTTAAAGAGAATGGCTTTTGCTTAAAAAAATAATACGCAAATGTGAAGGAATTTAAGGAAAAATACATATCGAAGTGGGGTTTGCAGCAAAATCGTTAAATGTTTAATTTCTGGAGTATTACTACTGGTATCGAAGTAGTTTAACCGAATAGTTAACGCAATTGTTAACCTAAAAGATATAACGAATTATTAAAGTAAAAGATATTACATTTTTGTATTTAAATTCTATATAATTCCGTGATTTAAAATAGCGGTTTCGTTTACTTTAAAAAACCTTTAACTGCATTTGAGTATTTTTTAGATAAAAAGAATAATGGTTTATAGCAAATATAATGAAGGGGGCAGAATGTTTAAATCGAAGCAAAAGTATTTCCCAGAAGGAATCTTTTTGCAAAAACATTTTTGTAGATGTTGATGACTGTTCATTTTAGAGGAAGTGGTATAAAATATTAGTTCGTACTTTGAAAAACGATGCAAAAGTTTTATTTACAATCCAAAAAATGCAACAGACGATTTCTTTAATGGTCCCCGAACTCGACCAACTGTGACTGGTATAAAAGTTCTAGAACTTCTGTCGTTATTTCGATTAATGGGAGGAGGCAAAGATTGTTCTTTTCGAAACAAACTAAACAACAATTGAAGGAAAAACAAACCAGTATTAAGCCCTAGAAAAAGACATTTTTGCAATAAGACTTCACACTTCACGGGTAATTATCCCTTTTAGATAAATATTGTAAGCCACCTGAAGAAATAAAGATTTCGTTAGGAATTTTGGAACCGTAATTGGAGGGTATTACTCAGAAGACAGTACTCTGAAAATTCTAAGTTTAAAAGAAATTCTGTTATGTACAAATTGTAAGTTTCAACGCAAATCGATTTGAAACTTTTTTTAAAAATAATGATATACTAGCGGCAGCTTAACATTAATTAACTCATATTTTGCTCCATGGATTTTTAAAACTCGCATAATTTTATTCGTGTTAAAACATTTTTAAAAAAAAATTAAGACTGCTTGTTTCGTTTTATAATTTTTTTGAAAGGTAGTTTAATTTTATATTTACCTGTTTTTAGATTCTTGATAAATTTATTTGCTTTTGTTTTATTTACGTTAAGTCATCTATTTTTTCAGTTTGAACAAAAGTAAAAGCGTGTTAAAAAAAAAATCTAAAAACAGAAAAATGTACAGTATTAATTTATTTAATCGCGTAATTTTATTGTGGGAAATTTTATTGTTGGTAAAATTATTTTATGTAATTTTATTGTTAGCAAAATTATTTTCGATAATTTTATTGTTGGTAAAACTATTTTTTGTGATTTTATTGTTGGTAAAATTATTTTAGGTGATTTTATTGTTGGTAAAATTATTTTAGATAATTTTTTTGTTGGTAAAATTATTTTAGGTGATTTTATTGTTGGTAAAACTATTTTCGGCAAATTTTTTTGGCGGTAAAATTATTTTAGGTAATTTTATTGTGTACAAAACTATTTTATGAAATTTTATTCTTGGTGAAATTATTTTAGGTAATTTTGTGGTCGGAAATTTTATTTGACGTCATTTTATTTTTGGTAAAATTATTGTTGCTAACAAAAAATTTACAGAAGTTCTAAAAAATATGAAGCACTACTTTTGATTCACTATATTGAGAAAATGAATATCAAAAAATCATACCTAAAATTAAAGCTGGCAAGGATAGATGACACTGAATAAGCATTTTCACGCTTTCATAAGTTTAAAGATAAACTTTATTTCTTTAGCATGTTTTCCTCTCATTTTTTTTTCCTCAATAAATCCTACTCTTAAATAACAGATTTTCTTAATTTAGCTCAATCATTTTTCATTGTTAAACTTCGGAACCAATTCTTCATGTTCAACAACAAAGTCAACGGTTTTGTTTATCTGAAACTGCGATTAAAACTTAATCCTATCTTTTAAATGCCGGCCTTTGAAAGGAAAATCTACCAATTTACCTTAATTATGAGAGACATTGTAAAGCCTCCGGAAAAGTGTCAGGATCGCGTTCCTGGAGTAATTGGAATTAACGCCCTCCTATCAGGGAACAAGAATATTTGGGATAGGTCAAATGGTCACCGTTATATATGATTATGAGCCTCTTAAGAATTACCAGTATTAGGTTTCCTTAAATCGGTTGATTTTGTCTGGGAATTATCTCGGACAATTTGTGCTCTTTCCTTTATGTATTGCAGATTATTAATACAAAGTAGAATCGGCTCAGAGCAACTATATTTAAGAAGAATTAGAAACAATTAGAAAAAGTATTTGGCTATTACTAACATCTGATACAAAGAAACAAACCTCGTATAATTGACCTCCTCTTTGTCATGACTGCTACAGAAGTAACAAAATAAAAAATAAATAATAATAAAAAAGACGATAAAGAAATATTAAATTAAGAATAAGAATGATTTAAAAAAATCGTATCTTTGAAATTTGATTTCTCAGGTACTATGCTACCGATTTCCCTCAAATTGCAATTGAAACTAAATGCTTTGAAATTATGTAAAAAAATTAAACCTTACAATACAAAATTTTTTAAAGTAAAATTTTTAATTTAAATTAAAGTAAAATAATAAAAATGCTTATTATTAAAATTATTTTTTCATGGAATTATCTCTACTAAACAAATTTGATAGCAATATTTTCTCGATTCGTCCAAACTATTGCGACCATATTTTCCGATTGTGGCCACTCCCCATATTTTGTGGTAGAGAAATTCCAAACCATCGAAAAATATTTGTTTACTCATAGAAAATATGTTTTTGTCCCTGATTTTGTAACTTAAAATATCATAAGTTAATTACCATATTTGAGGTCAGCCTCTAGAACCATTAAATCCCAGCACGCGAAGATTCGATCATTAGATTAAAAGTTATTCAGGATGGTTGTTTTTTTCTTTCTTTTTTATCTTTTCGTATTCTTTGTATGGTAGACCGATCATGGGTTAGAGTCCCCTTGCAGTCAGGCTAACCATGGGAGGTTTTCGCGGTTTTCCCCTCCATGTTGCTCAAATGCGGGTTAGCTCCATCAAAAAGTTCTCTTTGAAAGCAAATTTCTTCTAATACTTGATCCAGTTCCCTTGTCTTCTGGATTGAGTTTTGGCTACTGAGATGAACATTGGTAGTTGTAAATTCGTAATTGGCCCGTCTTTTCTACAACGGTTATAAATACTTCAGATTTACGGAACTAAATTTAATACTTCTTAGAGTTTTCTTTAATTTTGGTCAGATTTTAAAGACATTTATTTACTTTCTAAGTTAGCTGAGGATGAAGATGTTTTTTTAAAAAAAAGTATTCTTCCCTTTTTATGTGAGGCCATATCTTGGCTCTAATAGTTACGATTTTTCTTCATTTTAATTCCGCTGATCTAAATTATGCTCAATAATTCGCTTCTAAGATATAATTAGCCATAATCACACTTTTTGAATTGGCAGGAAATCAAAATGTTTCTTTTTTTTTAATGATTGCCAAAAATGAATCAGAAAATTTACTGAAAAAATATAATTGAACGTTATAATAATATCCAATTCTAATTGAACTATAACGACTTAACTTCCATGTAGCTAACATAACTAAATTGTAATGGTTTGTAGTTATAAAAAAATGTTAACCGTTATTCCTTTTCAAATAATGACTTTTCTAATCGAATGTTTCTTTTATTTCAGAATATTTTAGAGAAATTCAACCCATGTGCCAGACAACTTATATCCGCTGGTAAAGCCTATCTAAAAGCTTTACACGGTAAGAAAAAGTTTTTTTTTCCTCTTCCTTTAGTTGGATATAAAGAATTTACTCTTTTTTTTAGAAGTATTGCTGGACATTATCTCTTCGCTGATCGGTTTTTTTCATGGGTTTTAGAGCAACAAAAAGGTTTTTGACATTGTTAAAGGACTGTTTAAATTGTTATTTTTGCTGTTTCTGTTTTTAACTCTTCGTTTTATTTCTGTACTTGAATCTACTCTAAAAATCCCTTTTTTAATGTTTTTAAATAAAAATTTGTTATTCATACCCTGTGCTGTTAGAATATTAGCCTCCTTGCGAACTTTACGAATTATTGCGCCATGTATTTTTGGAGGTTTTTAAATATGTGCTATATTTTTTGATTTCCCAAATTACACAGATCAAGAAGAATTTCTGTAACAACAAATTTGGAGTAAAAACTGAAGCAAAAAATTTGACTAAATTAAATTGACGCTACTCAGTGGTACTCGCCTAAGGTTGCACAGAAATTCAAATGAAACTTCGCATGTATTTAGATCATTGGAACGTGGATTCCGTTCAATTATTCAAATATTCAATTCAGCTGGTGCTTTAACGCGTAAAAAAATTCATCCTGTTCTTATTAGTTTTCATTCTTTCTTATTTTTATTCACTATTAGGTTTATTTTATTCTTTTTATTCATTTTCTTATTTTCTTTTATTTTTATTCATTTTTTCCTTATACATTATATTCTTATTTTCATTCTTAATGATTTGAACTTTCTTTTTTTCTCTATTTGGTCTTAAAATTTTTTATTATTATTGTATTTCATCCTATTTTTAATCTTCTTACGCTTAAAAATAGCTCTAATTAAAAGTTTATAATAAGTAGTAATAAGTAAGTAATTAATAAGTAAAAATACGTTTTTAACGTTTTACATTATAGACCTTGACACATTATTTTTTGAACTAATTTTACTTAAATATTTTTAAATATTCTTTTAACTTGTTTACCATCCCATTTGCTGCATGTTATGTAATGTTTCATAGAACATAATAGACGTTCCTTAGATAATCAAAATAACTTCTTCGAGCAGAACCACTTTCCGAGGAAGTCGTAAGAGAACATTTTGGGAATGACTTCGGGGGAGAAAGAAGCACAATTAGGAGATTGTTCTTCGATTAACACTTTCTCTCCAGCAACTGAGATTGCCTTTTTTTGGGGGGTGAGCTCTGAAGAACAGAACACATCAACTGAGTGGAGAGTAATATACTCATTGAGAGACATAACTTTTAAAAGCGTTTCAGATGTGTGTATTAACGTTACGACTCAATTGCATCTTATTACATGATTTATTCCTCTTGTTTTCTAAACTGGCTTAACGGGTATCACTGCCCGCTGTCAGTAAGAGGATGGGTGACCACTTTGATCAGCTTGCGTAGGAACCGAGGGTGCACGTTATCGATCCTCATTAAACTATTCTACCATAAAGTGTAACTTCGGCAGCAGGTCGTCGTGCTACCAAAGCAGGGGAGCCATCCCCTCTGCAGAGGATCAAAATTGCGATGGCATGTTTTCAGATCATCCTCAAGGATGTTTCCCAGACCGTCGCCAATAGCCCATTGTGCACCTCTAGCGTAACGTAAATAAAGTACCTACCTACCAGTCTAAACGGGAACAGATGTAATTCATTGTGACGGGATTAACTACGTAAACTATCTAAACAAAAAAAAAAAAAAGATTTGAAAACAATTATGGTACTGAATTTTTATCATAGTAAGATTTTAGCGAGATGTGATAGATGTGATTCAATGTAATACGCCATTTAAGGTTTGAAGCAGTAAACAATTTAATTCATTAAACATTTACTAAACTTCAAACAACTTTGACTTGACGTTATTTTTACAAACCGCGACTATCAATTTCACGGACTGATCTAAAATCTCAAAAAGATTTGTGCCTATTACAGGCCTACTAAACACACTTCGAAATGATCCTCTGCTGTAATGCATGCCTGTGCTCTGACTGTAAAAGTTTCAAGAAAACGTTTAAAGTCCTTTTTTGAAATACTCGTTCACTATGTAGTTAAATTTTTCTTGCATTTTTTAGGAAGTTTTTCTGATCTGAAACCAAGAAAATAGTGATAATTTTCGAAAAATAACTGATTGAGTCAAACCTGACTTCTTAGAATTATTGCTTGAGAAGACATTAAGAAAGCAGAGAAATTATTTATATTTTTTCTTAAATGCTTAAATTAGGTGTAAAAAATCATAACAAATCGTCAATTCTTACAAAAGGGAAAGAAAATGCTTATAAAAATCATAAACGCTTAAAGAAAACGTTAAGAAATCATTAACTCTCAAAGTCACCAGATCATATAAACTAAATTGAATTGATAACATAATTTATTATAATGCGAGAAGAAAGCTCCTTTCACAGAAAAAAATATAATTGTTTTAAGTAGATAAAGGCAAGTTACAAGATTATTCAAAAATTCGATAGCAATGTTTTTCTTAAATCGCAACTAGTTTTCCATTTTAAGAATTTTTTTATGTTTTTAGACTCATTTTAAAACTTATTAACGGATATTAATAGCATAACATTAACTTATTCTTTTGACCAATTCTTTTCAATTGCTTTACAAATTCAATTTCTATGCCAGTTAATAAATCATAAAAAAAAATGCATCAAGCCTGCTTTGTTAAAACTTAGCTTTTTCTTATTCTCAAAACCCCTTTTATAACGGCTGAAAGATTCGCAAATTAGATCTTTGGCGCAACATATTAATCAAAAGGTTCAATATAAAATAAGAAATCGTTCGAATCATCACTCTCGAATAGAAAATAATTCCAAATATATGCATGAAAAATCAGCATCATCCCTTCCGTTATATTCATTACACTTGAAGAATGTTCGAATTTTTAACTTAATGAAAGGCATTTATTTTATTTAAAAAAAATTAAGATTCTTCTCAATGGTTCGAAATTCGAGGACCCTGTTGAAAGTGTTTTCTCTGAACTGTCATCGATTTTTCAGAGCGATTTATTTTAACGTCATCGTACGTCTTACAGGGAGTTGCTGACTCAGACCTTCGTGTAATGCCACCCCCACTTGGAAAAACTGTCAAGTGGTATTCCACCCTCTTTTTGGTGTTCTATAGGGGGTTGGGGGATTAAGGCAAATACAAGATAGCCCCCTCCAAATGATAAAGAAGCAAGACTTTTCCAAAAAGAGCGTTCTTTTAGAATGTTTAGCGAAGTGTGTTATTTTTCTTTTCATGTTTGTATGCGGGGTAAAAAATATTAGGGGGAACTTTTTAAGTAAGAATTATTTCTTGCTACTTAATTCAATGCAAATACTTTCTTTTTATAAAATTCCAAATAATGTATAGTTATTTCATGCTATAAAATTCTAAATGTATAATAGTACTAAAAGGGAACTGGACGCACTTTCCTAAAAACCGCTTTTGCATTCTATCCTCAAATAAACTAGTTTTTGATAATTTTAATCCCTACTTTGCTCTTCCAGACTCTAATGATGATTAGAGACGCTGAAGTTATTTCTCACTGAAGTATTAATTTGTCAGTCTAATGTTATTTTTCCCCTTCATATTTCAGTTCTTAACGGGGATTTTAAAAATCATGAATTAAGCAATTTTGAAAGTTTTGCACGTGGAACCAAAAGAATTCTTTTATAACTTGTATAAAATGTTTTTAACTAAATTAGTTAACATGCCACATATCTGCCAGCTTGTGATATTGATTAAGCGAATCGGACCAGGGAAACAAGATTAAAAAAATATACAGGGTGTTTATAAAGTCCCGGACCCATTTTGATGTTTAATAACTCATAAAATAATAAAGATAGATTGAAATTAATAACATAAATGGTTAGATAGACTCAAAAATTTTCTTGACCCTTGTCAATGAACTTCCACGTGTGCCCCCTTCGTCGCACGGAGAATATCAAGTCGATAGTCAATTTCACGCCAGGTAGCGGCAAGTATGTCGGCATCCACAGATGCTATTGCTGTTGTAATTCTGGCTTTTAGGTCATCAATGTTCGATACAATCCTCCTGTAAACATTGTCCTTTATAAATCCCCAAATAAAAAAGTCCAGCGGCGTTATATCAGGTGATCTGGGTGGCCAAGGAATTGGACCTCCTCGCCCAATCCGTCTTCCTGGAAAATGGTCATTGAAAGAACTACAAACGATGATACCCCAATGAGGTGGTGCACCATCTTGTTGCAAAAAGACATGTGGCTGAAGCTCTTCTAGTTGTGGAAATACGAAGTTTTCCAACATGTCTAA